TTTGCACTTAGTACAAAACAGTCACAAACCTTTAATTTGTAAACATTTGGCAACAAAACTTTTTACTTAGAACAAAACGGTCACAAATTAAACAGTGTGACCATTTCATACCAGTTCAAACTTTTGTTACCATGTCGTTGCAAATTAGACTTTTGGTGACCGTTTTGTACAAATTAAGTTCAAAAGTTTGAACGATCAATCACTGTTACAATTCGAGCTAGTTGTATGGTGGTTTTGTTAATGTATGTGAATGATATGATCATCATAAAGGATGACAATGAAAGAATTCAATGGCTCACAAATGGGTTCCAAACTGCTTTTTAGTTGAAAAAACTCTGTCTACTTTCTGACTTTCTTGGTATCGAAATTCAAAGGTCAACTGAGGGCATTCTTATTCAGCAAAGCAAATATGTCGATGAACACATGACCTGACATCTTATATGTCGTTCAAGTGGTTAGTGTCATATACTTAACGAACAAACTACCCGATCTCAAAACATGACAAACATTTAATTTGTAACGATTCGGTAACAAACCTTTGCACTTAAAACAAAACGGTCACAAATTAAATAGCGGTGACCATTTTATTCAATTTCAAAGTTTTGTTACCGTATTGTTACAAATTAAAGGTTTGTGACCATTTTATACTAAGTGCAAAGGTTTGTTACCATTTATGCTAATTAGTAATTACCCCAAATAGTGGGTATGATTATTCACGAAATATGCAGTTTGATTCAATTTGTGGGTTACTCTAAACCGGAAAACCAAACTTCTAAGACTGTGAGTCTGTGACAAAATTAATTTATACACCAATATATACAGCTATCCAAAGAAAATGGGAAAACCAAAAAACCATAGCTTTGCTGTATGTTTTGTGGTGAATCCTAATTGGTCATACGATGAGCAATGGAGAATGATGCCGATCATGATCGAGGTGGAGCAATGCTTGAAGACCTCTTTTACATTTGTTTTTTTTTTTTGTTTTTCTCTTTGTAGTACTAACAGGGCTGCCCATCGCGTGGCACAAACGGCCCTTGCATCGGTAGCAACCCTTTTGGTTGACTACCGTTTTTTTCATTTTCACCGCACTGTAATACCCTATCTATTACGATCTATCTATGAAAAAAAAAAAAAAAACCATAGCTTTGCTAGGACGCATAGTCTTTTCTGGAACGGTAGATTATTTCTTTTTCTACTTCAACGACGGACGCATAAGAATTTCTCGTCAATCGTGAGGAAATATCCGCCATTCGGCGAAACACAGTACAGAGAAACCAGAATCTGAGAAGTGTGCGAAAGGATCACTGAGGAGGAAGAAGAAGAAGCATCATACTATGAAGTCGCCTTTGTTGTTGGCTGCGTCGCTGTTGGTGCTGTCGACAGTCTCTTATGGCTTCCTGGAAACTCGTGCCTTAGCTCACCGCCACCGCCTCACGGGAACCACCGCCGGGAAGTTCTTGACTTCGGAGGAACTATGGTTTAGTCAGATTCTCGATCATTTCTCTCCATATGTAACAAGCCCACTTCTCCCTTACTCTATTTCTACTTCTTTGATTTATGGTTTGGTTCGACCCTCGATCATTTCTCTTCTAAGTCTTGAAGTTTCGGTCTTGTGTGGCTGAGGCTATAGCAACAGTAGGCGAATTTGTTTCTGGGTTTCGGTTCCTCATGCGGAATGACTTACCCCTATTGAGCTGGAGATTATCACGTTTTTATATGTATTATAGTTGGATTGGCTGAAGATTGATTTACTCATCAGCTGCCTTTTGAAATTCATTGTTTAGTTGGGACTAGAGTGTTGACAGGTCTTGGACTGATTTATGCATTTTACAGGATCACCGAAAGTTTCAGCAGCGCTATTATGAGTTCCTTGACTACTTCAGAGCTCCAACTGGGCCTATCTTTCTGAAAATTTGTGGAGAAGGTCCTTGCACTGGAATATCAAACGACTATCTTGGTGTAAGTCTGTGTCTGCCTTTATAAGAACCTAACTGAGTCAGGGTGTATGTTCTTCTTCGCCGAAACTTGGAGTTAATTCTTCTTAAAAATTGTTTGCTTGAACGAACTGCAACTTTGCTGACTGAATGCAGCAGCTGTATGTTTCAGATTGATGTGCCCTTGTGGAAAAGATAATCTAAAACCTTGTCAATCTATGCAGGTTTTGGCAAAAAAGTTTGGGGCTGCTGTTGTTTCACTTGAACACAGATACTATGGGAAAAGTTCGCCCTTTAAGTCGTTAGAAACGAAGAATTTGAGATACCTTTCATCCAAGCAGGCACTCTTTGACCTAGCTGTTTTCAGGCAACATTATCAGGCAAGTGATTAGGCAATTATGTGTGGCCGTCTGCTGAAGATCATTTCATGGCTAAAAAAAGAAAAGGCTGAACAAAATCAGCATACTCTTTTGTTGAGGGTAACATACTTTTGTCTTTTAATACGTTACAGGATTCACTAAATGCGAAGCTGAACAGAACAAGTGGGGAAAATCCATGGTTCATCTTTGGTGTTTCATATGCAGGGGCTCTTAGTGCTTGGTTTCGTCTCAAGTTCCCACATCTAACATGTGGAAGTCTTGCTAGTTCAGCAGTTGTTCTTGCTGTCTACAACTTTACTGAATTTGACCAGCAGGTGAAGTAAATATTTGCTTGATCACTTATGAATGATCTCTATATTGATTCTGTAGAACATACCTTCAAGTGCTTTTACTTTCACCCTTGGTTTTTTACCCTTTTATGACAGAAACTGAAGCATTAGCTACACATCTTATGCAGATTGGTGTGTCAGCTGGTCCTGAATGTAAAGCTGCCCTACAAGAAGTTACCAGTCTTGTTGATCAAGGGCTTGCATCAAACACGAAAGCTGTGAAATCACTATTTGGTGCAACTGAGGTTTGTTTGTGGCCTCCCAAAAAAAAACTTTGTCAGACCCAAGTCGGGCAAAGCAAGATTGAACATTGACTATACTTATACTCATTGTTGGGTGCTGAAAATTTTACTGTTTCCTTTCCCCCCTTTTCTGCCCTGGTGTTTGCAGCTTAAAGTTGATGGTGATTTCCTTTACTTTCTAGCTGATGCTGCAGTTATGGCGGTTAGTTTATCTCCTTTAGTTTCACATTAGACTCTCCCTGCATTAGAACTAAAAAAAACTTTCGTGTTCCATCATTGCAGTTTCAATATGGCTCTCCAGATGAACTTTGCAATCCACTTGTTCAAGCAAAAAAGGATGGAGAAGATTTGCTGGTAAAAGTCACCTTTATTGGGGACCTCGATATACTGTAGACTTTGCATGCAGCGACACAATTTAAATCACTGAGGGCATAGCTAGGTCTCTAGTTGCTTTATATCATTATATGTATCCTATTTGATTGATGAACATTGAATGGCAGGCTGCATATGCCAAGTATGTGAATGAGAAGTTTTCCAGTGTTGAAACTTATGATCAAGAATATTTGAAAGTCACCGCTATTACTGAAAATTCTGCGGACCGGTTGTGGTGGTTTCAAGTTTGTTCTGAAGTTGCCTACTTTCAAGTGGCTCCAGCAAATGACAGCATTCGTTCTTCAAGAGTTGACACGAGGCAAGTTTTTTGTTTTCTATGTTAGACAAGATAAGCATCTCTCTTCGTTTGTAATAAAGTTTATTGTTCATCAAGAGTTCGTAGATCTAGGTTCCTTCTTCATTCTTGATCCCAACTGGATAATCATTTACTGGATGATAATGTCTCAGATACCATTTGGACCTTTGCAAGAACGTTTTTGGAGAAGGTGTCTATCCCGAGGTTGACATGACAAACATATACTATGGGGGAACAAAGATTGCAGGTGCATGCTCAATCCCTTCCCTTTTGAATTAATTACCTAATAATGCTACTTGAAGTACTTAACTAGGCAATTTTGCTGTTATCGATCAGACCTTATGGAATGATAGTTACCATTGCTTTGCTGATCGCTTGGGGAATGTTTCCAACTTTCCATGAAGGAATATGAAGTGGAATGAAATTATTAGACCTTTACCAAAATATTAGATGGTTGGTATGGATAGTTTCATAGTTGAATAAAATCACTTGTTATTATGACTATATGAGTAATTTGATTTCTTGTTCCCCGCATTTCCAATATTGTTACCTCAAACAACCCATCAAGGGCTGTTCTTTCCATCTTCTCGATTGATGCCAATACATTCATGTATGGCTTGTTGCATAATGCAGGTTCAAAGATTGTGTTTACAAATGGCTCACAAGATCCCTGGCGCCATGCATCTAAACAGATTTCTTCCTCAACCAGTAAGTACATACAATGCAAATATGAAACTTCAAATATAGACTGTCTTGTCTCCCTGTTTCTCTCAGCTATCATAAAGCTCTTGTTCTTATCGCTGATGTTTCATATGTTTGTGTGAAGTGAACATGACTGACCCTTTACTAATTTCTAGTGCCCTCATACTTGATCACTTGCCATAACTGCGGCCATGGGACTGATATGAGAGGGTGTCCTCAGTCTCCTCTCTGCATAGAAGGTATGCAATAAACATTGTCACTAACCCCCCTCCAACGCAACTGCCTTTTCCATTCAATGAATCTAAATAACTTGATCATTGATTGATTTTTGTTTTGCCCGTTTATTTCAGGTAATCCCCAGAATTGCACGTCCCCTGAGGTAGTGCAGAAAGTAAGGCAGAAGATTATTGAACACATGGACTTGTGGTTGTCCGAGTGCGTCTCTGGTGATAGCAGGAACCATATGACAATGTAATTAACAAACAACAGACTACTAAAAATCCTCTCTTTTTTCTAAAGATCCACGTATGTAAATGTTTCAGCACGGTTTCACAAACTTCCTTCCACCTCAAGTTGCTTAGATGCTTTGTTTTTGTTGAGGATGGCAAGTTTATAGAGCTTATCTGTAACTATTTCTGTATTTCTGTACCACTATCTGTTGAACAGCAATCTAGATCACGGCAGGTGCTATTATGTATTAAATCATGGACAGACGAGCATCTGGTTTGAAGATGAAAGCTTTATGTAGGCAGACAAACTCCATTTCATAGCTACAGCATATCGGTATGTCTACACAGTCAAGTTGTCATTATAACAGTGGAAAGACGCAGCAGATCGACCGAGCAATGAGAATCTTTCTTTCTGGGAAGACGCAGCGCAGCAGATCGACCGAGCAATGAGAATCTTTCTTTCTGTGGTTCTCTACCCAAGGTAGCGAGAGAGATATGGGGATTTTATTAGTAGTCATAACCCTTGACAAACATCCCTTCCTTGGATTCTTCGGACTCTCCTTCACCAGTGTACTTCCCCAGCTGAGCAAGAGAGTTGGCCTTTGCTCTCACAAGCAGAGTATCTTGAGCTGCCTTCGCGTTCTCTGATCTCCCTCCCCATGTTTTGAGGCAAGTGTTCTGAAGTGCCCTCGCATTCGAGAACGACACGTGCCACGGGTTGGGTGCTTGGTTCATTGCATTTAGTGTGACCTGCCTCAAGTAACTAAATCTGGACCTTTAGATCTAAGTGGGTCCAGAAAATTCAGATATAAGAGTTGTCAATTAAAGGCATTTTATTTTACCTAGTTTTTTTAATCGGCTTTATCTTCTTCGGTCTAACTTGGATTTCAATTTTTTTTGCACAGATGGAACGAATTCGTTGTGCTCTACAAAATGAGATCAATTTTCAATATATTTCGAGAAACTTTATTTTTACCAACTACATACCATATGGTAACTTCTTCGTTTTTAAGTCGTTTTTGAAAACGTTTGCTCAGAAAGAACGAGTTCATCATGATCTACATGATCTATAAATTTCTGGGTGAAAAAAATATTGGATAAAAAATTACCATACTTTACCACTATGGTATGTGGGTGATAACTTGTGGTAACTTGTAGTAAACAATGATGAAAGTCGTAAATGATAGTTAGTATACTTTTACTATTCATGTATTCAACCTTCTTACCCCATATTGGTATGTTCATACCATCATGGTACGCTTTCTTACTATATGGTATTAAATAGGAGCATACCATATAGTAATGACTGGTAAAAAATTATTCATTTTTTTTTACTAAAAATATATCAAAGTGTATATCATTTTAAAGAGCACATTTAATCTTATTTATCTGTGCAAAAAAAATTAAATTTCGACTTAAAACGAAAGATAAATCGTTCGTTAAAGATTAAAGGGGAAAATATAAAAGACTTTTCAGGAGAGAGAACATTCTGATGTCATGCTAATATGGACAGGTTACTCATGATTACTGACCATATGGTTACTGACCTGATCCGTTCCTGTGTGGTCTCAGCTTCAGATTGCCCACCAGACAAGAACTGCACACAAAATGGAAGGGCAAAATAAGATCAAACAAGCAGTCAAACAAGGAAAACGCAATCGGTTTTTCGTCAAGGTTAAAATAGACTTGCCATGATTCCAAGGACAGTGTTACGCGGAAGATTCTAGAGCATTCTAGAAGGATGTAGGTACATGCATGCATCTTCCGATTCATGCACCAATGTACATGCATCCCCCTTATCTAGCTTTTATTCATGCACCTTATTAATTACATTCATGTACGGGGCAAGTTCATGTATGGGGGGACTTCTAGGTTCGTTCATTTATGACGGCCATATACATTGTACTTAGTGGGGAGGATGCCTATATAAGCAGCCCTCTCCACCACTTTTCATTCATCCAGAAATTGAGAGTTTCCATCTCTAGAGCTTTTCTCCATACTTTTGAGTTTGAGTGAATACGAGCAAGGCTGACTTAGCCCTCTAACGAGACTTGAGTGCTAAGTGCCGCACGACCAAGAGTTGGTCTGTGACAAGTGGTATCAGAGCCAAGGTCGTAGCTCAGCAAGTGAGAAAGAACCTCGAAGAGATGGCTGGATCCGAAAGCGAAGTTCTCGACAATGAGCAACAACGCGGTCGTGAGGAGAAGAAGGATCCAAACACCAAGAAGAATCTGATAGATCAACTCGAGAGCCTTTGGTGGCAATCAAGGAGAGGCTCAAAAGAGCAGAGACGCATACAACCATGTTCGAGGACATGGAGTCGAAATTCGATCAAGTCAGTAAGAGGTGCAGACTTCGAAGGGCGACATACAAGGCATGGGCACTCGAATGTCAGGCTTGGAGGTGGGGTTAGAAGCTTTCAGAAATGAGTTTTTGACCATCATCACCAACGCCATCGACTCCTTGAGGGAGACAGTTCGAGGCCAGGTGGACGAAGTGAGGGAAGAATTTGACAAGCTTAGACGAGAGCTCAATCTCGTCAAAAGAGCCATGGCTAACGGACCTGCCGCGACTCAATCTACTCCACGAGTAGATGTTCCAAGGCCAAAGAACTTCGGTGGGTCGAGGAACGCGAGGGAATTAGAGAATTTCCTCTAGAGCCTTGAACAATATTTCAAGGCCTCGGGCATCGATGACAATGAAGTCATGGTGCGAACCGCCTCCCTTTACTTGGTCGACACGGCCATGGTGTGGTGGAGAAGGAGGCAAGGTGATATAGAGAGAGGCACATGTGTGATCGACACATGGGAGGATTTTCGTCGGGAAATCAAGAGGCAGTTCTCCCCGGAGAATGTGGAAATGGAGGCTCGTGCAAAGCTTCGACGACTCACCCACACCGGCGAAATTCGTGACTATGTCAAGGAGTTCTCGGAATTGCTACTCGAGATCCCCGATCTGCTGGACAAGGAGGCTTTGTTTGGCTTCCTTTTCGGATTGTAGCCTTGGGCAAAGTTGGAGCTCGAGAGGCGTGGAGTGCAAGATCTTGCTACTGCTTTGGCAACGGCAGAGGCTCTCACGGAGTACAAAAAGAATGAGAGGCCGAACGAGTCGAAGAACTCGAAGAGCAAAAGAGGAAGAGATCATCGGCAGCACTCCAAAGAAGGAAAAGGCTCGTACCAACATGGAGGTTCGAGCAAGGGAGCAAGATCTGGTAACTTTGACAAACCCATGTCTTGTTTCCTTTGCAACGGTCCACATAAGGTGCGAGATTGCCCAAAGAAGAGCAAGCTAGCAGCCTTGGAGAAACAAGAAGGGGAGACCAAGGAGAATGCTAGGAAAGACGAAGGGAAGATAGGCTCCATGCGGAGGCTAGGCGCGGCGAAGTCCGGCGCCAACGAAGTTAGCAAGGGGAGATTCTTTGTGATCACCCAATTTGAGGGAGGCGAGTCAAAAGCATTGGTTGACACAGGTGCGACCGACAACTTCCTTCGAGTGGAGGAGGCAGAGCGCTTGGGGATCTCTTACGAGAAGAGGTAAGGATCGCTCAAGACCGTCAACTCCGAGGCAATACCCATCCATGGTGTTGCCAAGAACGTGCCTTTGAAGATCGAAGGTTGGGAAGGTGCTGCCGACTTTAGCGTCATCACTATGGATGACCATCCGGTCATTCTTGGCGTCAACTTCATGGAGAAAGAGGGCACGGTGATGGCAATGAAATCCAACACTCTCAGCCTTGACAAGGGAGATAAATTTTGCGCGGTGAAGATGTTGCGCGAAGAAGGGCCGAAGAGAGCTTTATCGCCCATGCAATTGGTGAAGGAAATGAAGAGGATGGAACCCACGTTCCTTGTCACTTTGCGAGCGAAGGAAGAAGGAGGCTCGGTGGCGCCAACACCTCTCATCGAGGGCGTGTTGGAGGAGTTCGTGGATGTAATGCCAAAGGAACTACCAAAGAAGCACCCGCCAAGAAGAGAAGTCGATCACAAGATCGAGCTTGAGCAAGGGGCGACGCCACCAGCGAGAGCACCTTATCGCATGGCCCCTCCAGAGTTGGAGGAATTGAGGAAGCAACTCAAGGAGTTGATGGATGCTGGCTTCATCCAATCGTCGAAATCCCCCTATGGAGCACCCGTTTTGTTCCAGAAGAAGAAAGATGGTTCGTTGCGGATGTGCATTGATTATCGAGCTATTAACAAGCTCACGGTGAAGAACAAGTGGCCAATCCCCAATATTGACGACTTGTTTGATCAAATCGGAGAAGCAAAGTGGTTCACGAAGCTTGATCTTCGCACGGGGTACTATCAAGTAAGGATAGCCGAGGGGGACGAGGCGAAGACGGCATGCGTGACGAGGTATGGCTCATATGAGTTCTTAGTTATGCCTTTTGGTCTAACCAACGCTCCTGCTACTTTTTGCACCTTGATGAACCAAGTATTCGAGCCGTTCTTGGATCTCTTCGTGGTGGTGTATTTGGATGACATCATGGTGTACAACAACACACTCGATGAACATGCCGAGCACTTACGACAAGTGTTCCAAGTCCTTCGAGACAAAGAGCTCTACGTCAAGAAGGAGAAGTGCACGTTTGCAGCCGCGGAGGTTCCTTTCCTCGGCCACATCATTGGCGGAGGCAAGCTAAAGATGGAAGAAGCCAAGGTGGAGGCGATACAAGGATGGGAGCCGCCAACGAGGGTCACCGAAATACGATCATTCCTCGGCCTGACCAGCTATTATAGGAGATTCATCAAGGGATACTCCTCTCTTGCAGCACCCTTGACAGATCTTCTAAAGAAGAACAAGGCTTGGGAATGGTCGGATCGGTGCCGCGAAGCATTTGAAGCCTTGAAGGATGCGGTGACGAAGGAGCCAGTGCTAGCACTTCCCAATCCAACCAAGGCGTATGAAGTGCAAACGGATGCTTCCGATTTTGCAATCGGTGGAGTATTGATGCAAGAGGGACATCCAATTGCATTTGAGAGCCGCAAGCTCAATGAGGCCGAGAGGAGATATGCGGTGCAAGAGAAAGAGATGACGGCGGTGGTCCATTGTTTGAGAACGTGGAGGCATTACTTGCTTGGGTCGAAGTTCGTTGTAAAGACGGACAATGTGGCGACGAGTTACTTCCTCTTACAGAAGAAGCTCACGCCCAAGCAAGCAAGGTGGCAAGATTTCCTCGCGGAGTTCGACTTTGTGCTGGAGTACAAGCCGGGGAAAGGCAACTTTGTTGTCGATGCTCTTAGCCGAAAGAGCGCACTTGCCGCCATTAGCCAACCGCAATTCCCCTTGAAGGAGAGGATTGAAGAAGGCCTTGGGCACGAACCCTTTTCCAAAACCGTGGTCGAGTACATCAATCAAGGGAAGACTCGGCGGTTTTGGATGAAAGGCGGAATCATCGTGACTAAGGGGGAGCGAGTGTTCGTGTCGCGGTGGGACAACCTACAAAGGGAGATCATGAAGGAGTGTCACGACTCCAAGTGGGCTGGTCATCCCGGCATTGAGAGCACACAAGCTCTCATCGAGGATGCTTACTATTGGCCTCGTATGAAGGATGACGTGAAAATCTACGTCAAGACCTGTCTTGTTTGCCATCAAGACAAGATGGAGCAGCGGACTCCGGCAGGCTTGTTGGAGCCATTACCCACTCCACAACGGCCTTGGGAAAGCGTTAGCATGGATTTCATCATCGGCCTTCCCAAAGTCGAAGGGTGTGGTTCCATCATGGTCGTCGTCGACTGATTTTCGAAGTATGGTGTCTTCATCGCGGGGCCCAAAGACATGACGGCCAAGGATGCAGCCCGCTTGTTTTTCAATCATGTTGTGAAGTATTGGGGCATCCCAGTTAGCATCGTCAGCGATAGAGATGGCTGCTTCACCGGCAAGTTTTGGAGGGAGTTGTTCAAGATGATGGGCTCTGATCTAAACTTCTCCACGAGCTTTCATCCTCAAACGGGAGGATTGGGTGAAGCTATTGGATGTAGCCCAATTCTCCTACAACTTACACCGAAGTGAAGCCACGAGCATGAGCCCGTTCGAGTTGGCA